AGGCATTGCTAAAGGCGATGCTCTCAGTGCATGGATTTATAACCACTAAGGTGGTTATGGGCCCATAAGGGTGACGGCACTTCAATTGGATGTCTGGAAGCCAGGACAAATGAAAAATTGATTGAATTATTTGAAAATTACGAAGTTCCAACACATCGAATATACTCGACTCTAAGATTTGAATTAAAGGCATTGAATTATACAGAAATTAAGCTGATCATCCAAGTGAGCTGCTTTGCTCCACCTTATAGGTCAGGCAACTATAAGGTTAAGTTTTAGATAAAGGCATAAAATAAGTAATACCCGAACAACACATTGTGTTTGAACATTTGCGATAAATAAATTATATTCCCATTTTATTGGCAAACTATTCATATATAAATGAAATCTAAATCATTGGATCTTTAATGCATTTAAAGATTCAAGAAATAGTGTTAAGTATGCTTCATATTAATTCACAATTTTCTTTCATTTATTATAAATAAATTTCTTGACATGGTAATATCGTAAATTTTACTTTTCAGTTTTTGCCTAAATCAGGGTTAGTATGAAAACATTCTCTTTAGCTCTAGCGAAAAAGACGCTTTAAACGGTAGTTGGAAAAGCATTGGATTTACTGGAGTACCATGTTTCCGGTGAAGTGATCAAGTGAAGGCAGAAGTAATAATGCTTTATGTATGCAAGTGAAGAATGAGCGACCGTAGAAATGGCGCCTGGAGAAAAGCGCTGTATCAGTCAGATGCCCAAGAACGGGATGTCATGGGTAGTAAGCATCAACTATGGACCTATAATACTGTAATATATTATAGTAAGTCTAATATTTATTTATTTATTTATGAGTTTAAAACTAAAATTAATTTTAAAATTTATTGAAAATAAAGAACTGGACTATAATATTATGTCATTCACCCGAAAATACAATAAATACAAAAGTAAGTTTTACTTTTTATGAAAAGAAGAGTATGATATTTTTGGCACTTTGGGACTCTTAATATGGTAAATATTAACCAAAAAGAGTTAATGTCATTGAAGCAAAACATTTCTATGTATATATAACAAACTTCTACGTCAAGGATTTAGACCACTTCACAAACAAAATATAGCGTACTTAGCTAAAATTATCCTTTCCAGCGTATTCGTCTACTTTATTATATATTTTCTTATATATTAAACGTGGGTTCTGCTACGTAGTTAATCACTTCACTGCTCTAAACAATTTTCAATTGTATTTTATAAACTTTAAACATTTTCTATAAGGGTAATTTTACAATGTTTAAATGGAACTTTACGTTATCATGAATTTTAAATTAAAATAAAATAAAAAAAAGAAGTCAAACCTAATTTTAAATAACGAAAGTGTATAAAGCAAAATCTTATGACGCCACCCTCGTAAGTTTGTTGTTCATAGTTATATTGAAAATGTAGTTACATTGCTAAGAGATTATACTGTATCTTTTATTTGTATTCGTATTATTAATATTGTATAATGAGTTATTTGTCTAGCTTAAATCTTTGAAAAGATTTAATATTTTTTTACGAGTATTTATGAAAGTTATAGGTTCGTATTCGATGTTTGAAGAATGTGAGGCAAATGCTTTAATGACAAGTGTATTCAACTACATTTAACTGAAGTACAAAATAGTCGATTTCTATTTAGATAGATTTAGACAGAGTTTCAATACAAAGCTTGATGTGTGTTTAAGTTTGGCTTTCAATGATTTTTAATGTGAAATAACGTTTTTTCTTGGACTTCAGTTATACAATTTCAATAAATGCAGTCAATTGGCATTCACTGAATTATGTATAATTATTTAAAATATTTTTTTCTTTTTGTTTTTTGGTATAGGCATAAAGTTTTTATATATTATTAATTTGTTGAAATCATTTTGTAATATTTTTTTTATATTTTTTGCTTCGTGATATTTACAATGTTTGCATGTTAAGTAACTGTTATCATTAAAAACTACAATATTATATATTTTACTTATACATTACACACAATACAACTGATTTACTAAGCTATAATTTGTGATTTTTAATAGTCTTTTTTTTAAATAATTACATACAATGCAATACAATGCAATACAATGCTATACAATATACAAACACAAACAAAACAATTTAATATTTTTTCATAAAAATTTAATAATATTTCGTAATTGTATCTTTAACGAGTGTTCGTGACAAACTTAGCATAAAAATCGCGTGAATACACAAATCGAACACTGCGCAAGTTCGAGTTTCAGCATTGCTACTGCCTTTTCTCTAAAATTTTATTTATTTTTTTTAATAAAAATTAATTTTTTTTTTATTGCATTTTTTCAGACAATAATTTGCAATCTATACACATTGAATTTAAAAAAAAATTAATATTTTTTTAATTTAATTTAATTTACTCATAATATACATAAGTTTACTGTACTATACTTGTACATAGTTTAAAGGGCACTAACATTTAAATAAATTTATAAAACAGCCTCCTTAAAGAAACTTTAATTTTCATATTAACTTATAATCATATACATTATATATTATTTAATATATTTATGCTTAGACATAAGCGGAACAATATCAAACTGTCTCTAATTGATTAAGATCCTATTTCCTTGCAAGAGCGCACAAGACACTACGATGGAGCGTGAATTTTACTATTTAAAATAAACAATTTTCTGGAAATAAATCCAAGAGATTCGGTTCCAATAACTCGCAAGACGATATAAGACGAGTGATTACAAAAATTCAAAACATTAAATTCAATTAGTACATTTTTAGTACTTGGCAAGTTATAGATGTTCAAAAAGTTGTCTATATAAAGGATATATTAATCAAGAAACTAATAATGCTTCGAAAATGTTTAATCCAAATAGCTTAGGTCAGGATCATAGTTGTCTATATAAACGATATATTAATCAAGAAACTAATAATGCTTCGTAAATATTTAATCCAAATAGCTTAGGTCAGGATCATAGTTGTCTATATAAAGGATATATTAATCAAGAAACTAATAATATTTCGTAAATATTTAATCCAAATAGCTTAGGTTAGGATCATAGTTGTCTATATAAAAGAAATATTTAAACAACAAACCTATAATATTTCATAAATGTTTCATAAATAGTTTAGATCAAGATCATAGTTATCTATATAAAACAAAAATATTTAATCACGAAACCTATATAATTTCGTGAATGTTTCATCCAAATAGCTTAGGTCAGGATCATAGCCAAGAATATACGTGGTGGTAGACTCACAATAATAAAGCGTAAAAATTTAAAAGAATTAATTTTAATACATGTACTTATGTAGAGTGTTTTATATACACCTCAATTATATTCCGATTCTTCCGTTGAAATTCGATAATTTCTGTTTATTGAAATGGGCCATATAGAGAACGGAACCTACATTGTAAGTACTAATTAAGTTACAGAGTGTCAAAGAGAAGTCTTCTCGAAGAAAAAAATAATTGATAAAAAAACCGTTAACAACTCAAAAATGTTTGGTCTAAACAGGTTACAAAGCGGACTTAAAAAGTGAAATATTTTAGAAGACTTATTACAAAGAATAGAGCCATTAATTCTAATTGGAATAAATTAACTTATACAGTGTGTTTCTTATCAACCACAAGAAAATACCAAAAATAATTTTTGATCTTCGTATGTGCCAAAGGGAGAAGGAAGCTCCATTATCAATACTAACCAAGTTACATAGATAGTTACATAGTACATACATAGTTACATTACAAAAAAAAAATGTGGATCAAAACGCTAAATATCTCAAAAATATTCCATACAAATAGCTCGCGTCAGACTTGTAGACCTAAATGTACTTCCAGGGGGGCTTATAGTTCAAAGCAAGTTATCTCCTAAAGCACTTTTACATAAAGTGTTGGCCAGTTCATCTGGGTCAATTAAAGTATCCCAGCGTAACGAAATTATAGCAAGTGCATTCAGTTCAACTAACATCTCCATGGAAGCTAATGAACTGTCGGAACTAACAATTGTAAATGATAGAGCGGCCAAAACGATAAGGAGAAACTTGATTGGCAGATAAAAAATTTCATCAATTTCAAAATCATAGAGAGTTTATAGCATGTTGATTTAATTTGGTCCTTTAAATCCCTGGCTTCGTACTAATTTAAGATTGCAATGAAATTTTAAGTCTATTAAATATTCTTTCATAAGATACCTAATCTGTACGAAATGAACTATTTTTTATAGTAAGAGTTTTGAAACTAGAAAGTTTTTTTGATCTATTGAGTCTTTTGCAGATTATTGCAGTCTACATGGCAACCGTAGCGTACTTACACAGTTTACATGGCTTGTGTAGCAAATTCGCGCATTTGCTGTTCGCTAATTGAGTTAACATACCATAGTGTAAACACTTGCAGTTTTGAAGTGCAAGCACAGTATTTGCCATTAGTATTGTGTTTCATAAGTACTTAAATAGTAATACATTTTTAATATTTTTGCTCGTATATAATACTATCAAATAACTCAAACTAAATACTACCCACAGATTAATTTCTTAATACCAAATAGTAAAAATAATAATCCTACATACTTAGGCAACTTGAATATTTGAGAGGGCGTTCGTCTTGCAAGCAAGCAATCAACTTCTTGAGGAAATATTTAAGAACATAAATACACTGACCCATTAATCTTAATCTTAATCCTTTTATATGCGATTCCAATTCAGGAAGTGGGAATTAATTTATATTTCTTGCTCTAGGGCACATTAATAAAGCTTAAAACTATATAACAGAGGTTAAATAAACTACAGATAAATACCAAACATTTCGTTAAAGCCTTTTACTGGTTTTTCATTTAATTAAAAAAAACATTATAATAATTTTAAGTATAGTTATGTAGACACTGATATCTATATCTATATACTGCAGTATGAGATTATTCTATATATATATACAGCTTTTGTATTTTTATTGAGCTTCACATTACTTTCTAGTATTTTTTAATTTATTTATTATTTCATAATTTTATTAATTTTTTTTCACTTTAGCTTAAAAAATAAATAAAGTTTCTTTCACCGAACTCACCTCATCAGACGGAGGAGTTTGTTGTTGCAACTGCAAGGTTTGTGTCTTTGTTGTTGTGATTATTGTTGTTGGTCTCCTTTTGGGTTAATTGCACTACGTCAGCCGTAACACTGATTTTAGGCGTGGTCGTAGCTTCAATTGTCTTCGTCGCTTTCTCCTCTACACTCTTTGTAGGCGATTCGCATTTTATAGTTAAATCGACTGTCTCGTAGCCACTCACTTCACTTAAGACATGCTTTGGCTTAACGGCGTTTACACTGGCTGTATTTACCGCATATGCTGTATTTACCGCTGCTGTAGATTCTTCTATGGCGGCTGCTTTCGCTGCTGAAGCTTCCGCGGCGGCTGCTCTGATATTTAAATTAGCGGCCACTTGATCGATTGTAGTTGGTTTCTTAGTGGGCCGCAAGCTCGAAACCGTAGAGATTTGCGTGGTTGAGCACGCGCTTTTAGTTGGCATAGTTAATGTTGTATTGTTAAGCGGTAACTTTATTTTATCTTCCATACTTGGGGAGCTTAACGCACTTTTGTGCTGATTTGGTGAAGTAGCGGTTGTTGTAGTTGTAGCAGATACCACAGTATCTGCTGCTGTTGTTTGTGTATTAGTTAAAGTTGCTGCTATCGTCGAGACGATAGTGGGTTGATTGCGAAAAGCTAGCGCTGAGGGATTTGGTATATTCCGCACAGAGGCATTTTGCTGTCGTACCACGTATGGTTGTTGTAGTTTTGGTTTGTCATAGAATTGCGTTTTAATTGCAAGTCTTTCCCGGGTTGTGGCAGATTCTGACAGCAACTGCAGATTTTGTAGATCTTCATTCCGTTCATCCATGCTGTTGGACTTTGTTGCAATATTGTTGTTGGCAGAAATATTTTGTTTGATTTTATTCAATGCTGCTTCGAGACTATTGCCTATGTTGTTTTGCACCACTGGTTCAGTCGTTTTGGTCTCGTTTATTTTACCAGCTGACAGGTCAAGTATCTCGACTCCATTATCTTTAGCAGTTGGCCGAAAGTCTCTGAGGCTACTTGTTTTTTTGGATTCAATGCAACCGTTAGTTTTTTTAATCTCATTCGGTTTGTCTATTTCAGCTGTTTTAGTCGGTAACATCAATGGTATAGTATTGTGTAAGTTAACTAAAACTGGAGGCGAGGGATTATAGGAATTATTTATTATGGGTTTAGGTACGTTTAAAGGCGGTGATGGTATTACTGTTGGCGATGTTTTTGCAAGCTTTTGTTGTGCTATCTTCTCTTTTTTAGGATGAGAACCACCAATAGGTGGTTTAGTGAGTCTGTTACCAACCGGAGGACTTAATGGTGTTGGGAGTGGTAACAAATCAACTGTATTGTGACTTGTTGATATACGCACAATTTCTACGGCAGGTTTGCCTTGTCCATGATTTGGAAATGACATCATTGAAGATGGCTGGGTAGTGGTAGTTTTCGATCGTGGTGTTATCGTTACAGCACTTGTACTGCACGGCGCATTGTATATTTTACTGTTGTTCTTAGAGATGTTAATGGGTGTGTGTGTCATTTGTGATGAGTGTCTTTTGGCGCCTTGCCCATATGCAATTGTCATTTGGGAATAAAAAGGCAATTCCGTTGCCTTTGCTGGCAAAGTGGTTACTTTTTCATGATTGCGAGCAAATTGGTTTTGATACTTTACATTTGTAGAGTAGGGGCCATAAGCAGACTTACGCATCAAGCGATCCTGTTCAAGTTTATGCAGTTTGCTAATCGATCCGGAATTAGACTCATCGAGTGAGATTGAGCGTTTTAATTGCATACCAGCTTGCTTATTGGCAGAACTGGCTATTGAGGTAGGGGTTGAAAAGTATTTTTGTGCATTTGGTAGTGGACGTGGCGGATTAGGAACTGCAAATTGTTGTTTTGGTTGCTGCTGTTGTTGAGGTTTCTGATTTATGCCCTTCTTATCAAAGTTTAGTGTATGTAATTTTTGTGCCTTTGGTAGTGTGGCTTGTCCTGGTAAAATTGTTTTCGGATTTGACAAAGCGGGTTTTACTAAAACTGTTTCCTCTTTTGTGGATGAAACGAATGTTGGTTGCTTAATCGATTCAGTTGGGTTTTTAAGAAACGTAGTAGTTTTTGCTTTCAGCGGCCCCAATGTCATTGCGCTGGGCTTGAAGAGGCTGGGTGGTAAGGGTGGCGACGAAGGAATATTAGTTTCTATTATATTTGCAATTGGTTTTGGTAGCAAATTGGTTTCTTTTGCGCCGTTAACCGTGTTATTATTACCGATTACGTCTTTATCTCCAGGTACAGTTTTCTGCTCAGTATTCGTTTTTGTCTTTATGAGATTATTTATGCTCTGAGATTCTTCACAAAGTGCTTTATTTAAGGCTAACATTGAAGAAAACGAATTGGCGGCTCTATTATTATTGCTTTCGCTATGCTTTATTTTATGTACTGGAAACCTTTCAGACTCAGTAGCTGGAGTTTTGAATATATCTGAATCTGCTATCTTCTTACTTTCAGTTTTATGTGCTTTATGATTGGAATGTGCTGCAGTGATTTTGACCTTCATTTTCAGGCTTTCATCTGCAGGTTGCGAAGATATTTCAGCATGAAGTTTTCTTCTTTTGCTCTCTTTGACATCCTTAGAATCTTTTGAATGCTTCTTTTTACGTTTCTTATGCGAAGATGAAGTGAAATCTGCAGAAGTTGCATAATTGAAATTACTGTTCGAGGATGAAGTGGTTGACGAACTTGACGACATTGGTGAGGCATTTGGACTATATTTAAACTTTTCTGTCTGCTCGGCTGTTTCATTTGCAGTCTGCACATCGATTGGCTTTAAACCGATATTTTTGGCATATGTTTCCAAGTCGACCTTATCAGCGATGGGCCGACTATCATCGAACGAGTGCTTGCGATGCTTTACTTTTTTAGTTTCGATAGCTTCGAAACGTGCATCAGCGGATTTTGGTTTTGGAATTGTCAGTTTGGTCTTCAAACTACTCATATCAATTTTCAGTTTTGGTACGTTATGCGATTTTTTTGGTGATTCAGCCTTAATAATTGGTTTTGGGGGCGGGTTCTTTTTACACGCATTTTTCAATTGCGCCAGGGTCTCGTCGTCCTCACTAAGTATGGAGGGTGCGAGTTGCGAATGTGGTATAGTAACCACAATATCACACTTTGTTGCTGATGGATCTGTTTTTGCAGTATTCGTGTCTCTACTGTGTAAGTTTTGAGAGTATTTTCTTGCATTACCCGCTGAATTTGCAGTCGGCGCCACTGTAGTTGTCGTTGAATAATCACTGAAGCGCATATCATTACTGCGCAGGCTTTTGAAATCATGAGTTATGTCCAGTGATGCACTTCCAAAACTAGAACGCTTTGAAGACGCTTTCTTGTGTGCATTTGATTTCTTTGCAACTTTCATGGAGTTTTTGGACTCTTTATTCTTCATTAATTTGGTTTTGCCTGTAGATTTTTTATGTGTTAATTCCAAATTTGTCTTGTCAGTCAGTTCAGTCATCGGTTTCACAAAATGTGATTTTATGTTGGCCGTCTCTACAGGTTTTTGACTACCACACTGAGTTTCTATTGTTAAACATTTTGACTTCTCATTACTGTATAGAAGAATTCTGTAGAGAAATTGCATTGGTGCCTCCTGTAAAGTTTATTTTGAAAATAAAGGAAATATTCGATTTAGAATAGGATTCATATTATAGTTATTATTGAAACTTAAGTTTGATTTCATAAATATATCGATAAAAGTTTATAATACCGATGATTATCATATAAAATAATTGAACAAAAACCAAAGAAAATATTAAAATCAAATGGATTGATAAGGATTATAAAAGGTTTTATAAAAAAACGAACAAACTGAAATAAATGGTTATTATAAAATTGATTTATTGATATAGAATTGATATAAAGAACACATAAGAGAGCCCTTGTAAGTAATCTACTGCATATTGCTGTAAAAAAAATGTATATACCCATTTTCTCTATATTCTTAAACTACATACAGTAGACATTCGATTTAAGGAGTACTCAATATGTTGGGTGATCAATTGAATAAACCACAAAATTCTGTTATTGAGGTCTACTGTATTACACTCTCGTTCTCCTACAGCCCTTATTTTCACTATTTTATTAAATTTTTTTTTAACCCAATAAATCTTTATTTACTAAAACACGATACAGAAAAATATATTCAAAATATAGATTAACTATATTATTTTCTCTCTTTTAATTAATATTATTTTGATGGTACACTTTTTTATTTATCATTTTCACTGTTCGTTTCATATATATATTTTTTTTAACTAAAATTTAAATTTTTAGATTTATTTTAAGGTTTTTATACGGTTGTTCTTTTTAAATATGTTCTTGTTTAAAAAATCGTTATTATATTTTTTTTTATAACAATGAGTTTTTATGAAAAATAGATCCGGTATTTTGTATTAGAAAAACGCGGATAAAAGATTTTACACCAGTTTTTTTTTTCTAGATTATAGCACTGCACTCTGTTACTATAATCGATTTGAACTCGATTTGTTGTCCAATTACGCCAACAACTGACGGGCCCTAATATAAACCGAAACCCGCAAAAGTTGATGATACTACCTAACTCAATAAGCCCACAAAAAATGTATGTAGAATTGGATCGCTGGAATTATGCTGGAATTATGCTGGAATTATTAAATTATTATTACAATCGATAAGACCTATTTTGAAGACTACTGAATAAATTTTGCTTAATTATAAACCTTATGAACCTTGCGTAAGGGCAACAAAATAAATATTGACTGATCATAGTTTATTTTATAATTCCATAAAATTTTTACATAGTATTTAATACGATTTTAATGATCTTCAGAGCAAAATAATGAAGGCTGTCAATGATAAATTCGGCTTTTTTACAATCTTAGATATTTATTTTCTACCTATCAACGATAGGTCGATAGGAATCGCCAATTGATAAGGTTTTTTAATAGATCAAAATAGGCGACTTATACATTTATCCAGCTAGTTCGTTTTGTTGACAAAATAAACTGAAATACCTAAATTTACTTAATTAACATTAGATGGAGCGACTTTTATTTTGAAGTCAGATATGGAGTCACGATCTTCGACGCCAAACAAAATTAAATACAATATTAAGAACAGAAGTAAGAAAAAATTGGCTGTCTAGTATTATAAAGACATAAACGCTTTATTTCTTCTTTTTTTTTCTCTTACCCTTTTCTCTCTATTTCATCTTTCTCTCTCTCATCTTTCTCTATTTTCATTGATTTTTTTTTATTTTCGTTTCTACTTTTATCTATCTCTTTCGGTTCTTTCTTTCCAACTCTCTCTTTATTTTTCCCACTCAACTATTTTTCTCTCATATTTTTTCCCTCTCTTTTCTTTCTCTCTTCCACTTTTATCTTTCTCTTTCCGTTTTCTCTCTATTTAATCTTTCTCTCTCTCATCTTTCTCTTTTTTCATTGTTTTTTTTTATTTTCGCTGCTACTATTTGTTTTTCTTTCATTTTCACATCCACGTCCTGTTTATTTTTCCATCATTCATTTTTTTGTCAATATTATTTTTAAATCTATTTATTATTTAAGTTTTTGCTGTTGTTATTGTTGTTGTGGTTTGAGTTAGTGCTATTGCGCACTTTTACTCTTTTGTGGCTGGGAGCTTATTCCTACCCACACTAAGCTTTACACTAAGCTATACTAGAATTATTATCATTTATTTATCTTTTAACTGATGACGGACCGTAGATCAGCATATTTTCCTATGCGTCATGAGGTGGACTTAAGGTTTGTTAGGGCGGGGTTGGGTTTTAAGTTTTTATTTCTTCACTAAATTATTTACTCTATATCACACTTTGACATTTCTATTTTATTACATATTAATTTAAATGTATATTTTATCTGTATATCTTCATTAGAAAATTTTTGATTTATTATACATATTTACAACTTTTAATCTCTCTAAGATGCATTATTTTTTTATTTTTTTTTTTAAAGATTATTTTGGCTTCTTAATTTCACATATTGTCATTCCTTATTTCTCATGCTTTCTTTCATATACATCTTTTTCTACTATTTTTTGGAATACTACTGATTTGTATTTCTTTAATCACTATATTTTTACCGACATTTTGTTCTCAAGGTCTTTTTTTCGTTTTGTAAATTTATAAAGTATTTTGTTTTTCATTTATTTTATTTATTTTTCTATAACGTTCATACTTTTTAAGAAACTTTACTTTTACAATTATTTGCCCACAGCTTATTTTTTCTAAAATTTTCTTTGCGTCTTTTTTTCGTTTATCTTTATCACTTTACTCTTCTGTATTAGATTTAGTTTTCATTTCTTTGTTTTGTCATTATTTAGATTTTTTCCCATTTTATGCTTTTTTCTATTATTATTTTTTATATCTCTTTATGGATTTCTCACATTTTTCTTTCCTTACGTATTTCGTTATTATATTCCCATTTCCTGTTATATATTTTCCCGTTTTATGTCATTTCTTTTATATTGTAACTTCTTATTTCTTTATTTTTCTTATCGAGTTCTCACTTCTTTGTTTTTTTTTCGAATTTCACTAATTAAAAATATTTTTTTTTAATATTTTTTTAAATCCATTTTAAGTCACTTTTTTTTTATTCGTTTATTTCTCCTATTTTCATTTCCCCTGGCCGCCACAGTGATCCAGGTATTGTCATTCAACAATATATTGAGAGCATGGCTTTGTATCTATGATATGGTTACGAGACTGTGACAGTGACAAAGCTCCACACACAGTTTTAAAAAATATGTACATTTTTATTTTGTTTATTCCTGCTTTTCTCTTTTGTGTTCTCACTTTAACTCTTTTCTTTACTTTTGTGATTTTCTAACAATTGTGAAATCCTTAATATAAATTTTTTTTAAAAACTGTTTTATTTCCCTAAAGTTATGATTCCGTGATTTTTATATATATCATATATAATATTTTTTTAAAAACTATTGTAAATAACTGTCATTAGTAAGAACAAAAATTGGACTTACCCTCTTCCATTTGTAGCAGTACGCCACATCCATTAAAGTAAAATCATTGGGAAGAATTTCTCCTTCATAGATTATTTCCACTTGGACTTGTTTATTGTCAGGATCAATATCATATTTTGAGCACAGGAATCTCTTTAAATGAAATATTCTCAGACCAGCAGGACATTGCAGATACCTTACTGGCGGTATTTGTGCTTCATTGCACCACTTTAATTGTTGTGGATGATACTCCAAAGATAAACTATATAAGATTAAATAAAAAAAAAATAGAAGACAAAATGTTGGTTAAATTGTTTTTAATATATTTTTAGAAAATTGTATAAATATAATTCACTTCATCAATAATAATAAATTAAATCACCAATAATTTATTTTAAATTAAATCATATTAAATTAAATAATAATATTTAGTAATTGCATACCTAATTGGTTCTGTCGGTAAGAAAAAATCATCTCCCAGTTCATATTTTTCATCGGTTAAATTATCAACGGAGTTACGTTTCTCCTCTCTAAACCGTTGTATGCGCTCATACTCGTGCTGATAAAGCCCGGGCACTACTTTATATATAACGTCACGTAATATATCATCCGACCTAAAATAAAAATTGCACTACTGTCAAGAATTTTTCTCACAACCAAAATACTAGAGACACCTACTTTAAGTTATTCAAACTAATCTGCTTGCTAATGACAGGAGTGCACTGTGGGCAATAAATATTCTTACTGCTCAGATACTGCACAATGCAACTTCGGCAATCTGAAAAGAGGAATATCAGGTTACAGCAAAGATGTTTGCTTTCCTACTCGTATGCAAAATTTAAGATTTGGCACCGAATTCTATTAAGTGCATGAGTCTGCACATGGCACTACTTACATGTGTGTAGACATGTATCGATGGAAGTGGGATTCACCATGTATCCATTGCAGAGATAGCATAAAAAGACTTGATTTATTTCGCGCACTTGAAGTCGCTCCTTTGTAGTTTTCATTGTGTCACGGTTTATTGTGGTTCCTTTAATAAACTCTTTGTCTGTCTCTGATAATATTTGCATTTTATGCAAATGTTATAATTGTACAATTATCTGTTGAAGCCTCCAGTAGATTCTACAAAAAATAAATTAAAATTATTCTTCATGTGTTCCTATACAATTAGAGACATAATTTTATATCAAAAAATGTTTATCAAACTGTTAAGTAATTTATTATTGATAGTTTTTTAATTAGTGTTATTAATAAAGTATTGAAATTTAACAATTAAAAATAAAAATATAATTAATTAATTCAATTATTCTACAGCTGGTTTATGATTTCACTCTAAGTGATTTCACTCAGCAAGTGTATTTGTTAATAAAACTTTCACAGCAAAGTAACAAATCGCCAAGAAAATGTGCGAACATAAAAATCAAGTACGGCTTTGGGTCAGTTGGTTAAGGAGCGCTGACTCTGTGCTTCATATTTGGCAGGGTACGAGTTCGATTCTTGGTACTTGCAGTCTCAAAAAATTATTTACGAATAATTAAATACAAGAATTATTTCCAAGACCACTGATGATGGGTATTTGGCAATACTCGAAAGCCAACAATTAAATTAATTAAAATAATATAAATATAATTTTTGTTGTTGTTGCTCGCTACAGTTCGAAACTTCTCTATTATTAATAAAGATTATAAAAATAATTCAGAGTTGAACATTTTTTATTAATTCTAATTCCTAATTTTGGTACCTTTATATACTTTATTCATTATCAAAGTTTAAAAATATTAAAAATCATAATTGACAACGTCGAAACATACAGATGTTAATTGAGAAATATACTTTTTTCTTCTTCGTCTTCTTTTTAGCCGTGTTACAGCCAAAGAGTCTTCAGAGAAATAGATCACTTGATTCCAAAACCAATTAATCTACAATATGAAGCCACTCATCATAAATGATGAATTGTCGGCCACAACTTTAATCGGACAATAAGTAATCACAAACTAAGTAACACAGTTATAAAAAAAAGCTATCAAGGCTTTAACATAGTTTTTTCAAATTTTTCTCAGGAGTATATTCCCATCCATTAGTAAACTCTAAACTTCACATCCACACTTCCTTGACCGTCGCGTATGCCAGGGAAATTTTAAACTAACCTTTCTTACCATATTGGTATTCTGTACACATTTCTGCTCCTTGATACACACTTTTTAAAAAAATCTATAACTAAAATACGTTCCATTTCACTAATTCATTATATAATTTACGATTTATGATTTGGCAAACATTTTTATATTAAATTTAACATTTTTAATTTCAAAATTTTCGATAATCTCTTGTTTTCCTTCTTGGTTGGCCATTACAGATGTGGGTCGTCTTTGACCATGTCCAGCAGCTTCCCCTAGACAGCTCGATCAGTGGTTTCTTCTCGCCAGTTGGTAGTATCAAATGCCTATCCCTACTCATAGATATTCGTTTGACCTACAAGTCAAACAAAAGAAATTAAGTCACTACCTTGAAGCTCCATCACGCTATTCAATTAAGCAATTTTAGGTACTTATATGCAACGAATGAATTCCGAATAGAGTGAATGATTGCGCCAAAAAGCAAATGTGAGTGTGAGTGTAAAACATTAAAAAATGATGACACACACTAATATACAATATTAATACTAATATTAAAAAGAATAAGCTGAGAAAATGAATGGACAAGGGAGAGTAAACATTTGCATCAAAGCAAACGAGCAACATAAAGTTATTTATGTTATGTTAATTAAAGGTTCTCCATATTGTTCTCCTGACTTTATAGCACTATTTTAGTGCTATCAAGTTTTATGTCAAATAAAACAGACTTCCAAATATATCATATGCTTCCTTTAAAGTATACCATTATACATTATGGATTTTTTGACAACCTGTTAAATTTGTAAGAGTTGTTAATTTTGTAATACGAAAATTTCACATCGAACTTTTCTCAGTTAAAAGAGTTAAAAGTTATAAGATATACCGCTAACTTATTAACCCCAACTTCTTCTAATCTACTTAACCTATGAGCAGCTACAGCACAGGGTTGCCAAAACTATGAACTTTTAATTGTCAATGATTTTTAGAAATTCCAGTCATTTGTTAAAAAATATTCCGTTTATTATTTTTTAAGTTTTTGTTTAAAACTAATTTTTAATATTTCTAATAAAATGGAAAAACTAATTCCACACACTGAAGTTTTATAAATATGTGGACTTGTCATGGATCCTAACAAACCATTACATAGCATTTCAAGTCTTGTCAACCAAAGTAATGCATATTTAACAATGTCTTTTTCTAGTGTGCTTACAAAAGATTAGACCTATAGTAACTATATTTTTCACACTTATAAATCTCTGATTTAAATAAAACTGTGGTAAAACTTTCATGCTAATTAAATCAGCAAATCTTTCTTAGTTAAGCTTTCACATATTACGTTGACACTTCACAGCCAAAGTTAATTGCACAAGTGTTTACATTACAGCAACTCAATTATCGAGTAACGAAACAAAAACAAGGAGAAATGGCAAATATCACTAAATAAATTAATTTTTAATAAGTGTAATAGAAATAAGTAATAATAAATTTATAAAAACTAATATTTAAAACATTTAATTTAATATTGAGCGGAATTGCACATTTTTTAATATTTCTTATTTGTTGTTTTTTTTTTTGTGTTGTTTAACTCAGGGACAATTTATTTCCATCACGTAGTACCTTCCCTATTCAGCAGATCACAACTTACACGACTTTAAAAGAATGGAATCCTAAGATCAGCACTAAATAATATCGCAGTGCTAATGTACTTAGGAACACTCTTTTATGTGAATAGGTAAAGAATTCGCAGATTCATTTTCACACAACATGAGTGTCTACTGACTCAGAGCCATTATTATTTTTAGAAGAAACAAAAGTAAAGGAATACCTGAATAAAGTCTCTTAACTTAACCTAAACATCAAATCAAGGCAACTGACAAACCTCAATTCAATAACATATAGAATCTATTGTGCAACACCTAGATAGAGTTTCCTTATTTACTCTGATCGTCAAATCAATGTTACTGACAAACCTCATCATGTCTCTTGGTTCTAGAGCTCAAATCTCATTGGACTAAATTATATATAAAATATATTGGTTAAAGTTTTCTTACTTAACCTTGATATTGAATCATGGCTACTGACAAACATATAATGTTCTTAGTTCTAGATTCCAAACCTCGATTTAATAAAAGTACTAGAAAAGTACGAACAACGGTACTGGACTTATTCCCTGGTAATCGTTGGGCACAAACAGTTAAGACAGGTGGAAGTTTTATTTTGCATGTCGCAAAATCCAGTGTCGGTATGATTTAGCTTTATTTTCGAAAGCTGATATTTAACAAGAGCATAAGCAGTTAAAAATCCAGTGATAAATATGAGCTAAGATTTAATTCAGAGCTATAGTTTTTACTATAGCCAGCCATATAGAATATTTAAAATAAGTTGAAAATTTTCCTTCTAACAGAGACAATTCCTAACAATTTCCAAATTTTAGAAGTCAAAAAGCAAACATATGGTTTAAATATTGAACTTTAAAGTTTATCTGTGATTACCACCCTGATAATAGATTAAAGTTATCAACATTTCTGAATGCAACCTTGGCTAAACTTCGCATAAAACTAAGTATTTATTAAGTAATCAAAATTTTCTGAATACAAACTTAAGCCAATTTTGTATAGAACTAAACATAAATGAAAGTAATTAAAGTTTCTGAATGCAAACCGTATTAAATTTCGTATAAAACTAATCACAAATTAAAGTAATCAAAGATTATGAATGCAACACTGATTAAATTTTATATAAAAGTAATCATACTCGTAAATGAAAGTTATGAGATCCACACGATATCTTACATGGGTATATAATAGCTAAATTTAACACTTTGAGTGGCAAGTTGGTTATCAAAAGTAAAAAAATTTATCGGGACTAACTAACCATCTGCTACGTTCACTGTAACCATGAGGGTAACCCGGAAAAAATCTTTTGTTTATCAGACTGGTTATATAATTTTCAAGTACTTTAGTGAAAAGCAAAATGATGAGGAAGAAATTTTGAAAAGCAATTGAATTTAAGGGTTGCCACAACGTCCGTTCGATTATATACAATTTTGGAATAAGAAACTATATCTCGAAAACCTCACAAGATAGCGCAAAATGATTAAGTAATTTGAGTTAATTACAAATTACTTAATAATTTTAATTCGAGTTAATTACAAATTACTTAATAATTTTGCGCTATTTTGTGAGATTTTCGAGATATGGAATTTTTTCCAAAACTGTTTTCAAATCCTGTACATTTTCACTTATCACCATTCCAATCACCAATCTGATTCGAAAAAAAAATATTTTCTCTATCACACTGAGTACCACCCTGGTACTTGGTCCATATCGTTCCCATTGAATTCAATAAAATCTATTAAACTTGTTTTAATCAATTAGTGATCCATATATGGTACTGGTACCTTAAAAATGTTTCCATATGTTAAAATTAAACAAACCAATAGATTTGACGAGACCCATAGTATCCATACATTATAATTGCCGTCGGAATTTAAAGAGCTAACCGTTATATGTAGACAAATAACGGTAATGTTGTATACTTAGCAATATCTTATAATTATCAACTTAATTAAGACTTTTTTATTTCATATTTTAATGACACATATTTGAAAGCATAAAGACACAAAGCATAAACCTGAGCTTCTTCAAACTCCAAGATATCTTCAACAACAACAACAACAAAAACAACAAAGTAAGTATAAGTCAAATTTAATGGGCAAGTCACGAAAATTAAACAAAATATCAAACAGAAATGAAAGCAATGAAAGCAATGAAAAAAAGACGTCAGAACAAGTTGTGCGCAAAAGGGGCGTATGGTGGGATGAGTACAACATATTGCTAGTGTAGTATGCACAGTGAAGGGTGCAAAAAGAAAAACTAAACTTTCAAACAAAAGTTTAGCAAAACCCAAAATGAAACCAACATAAAAACAAAACAAAACAAAACGAAAAACAAAAAACAACAAAAAACTATATAACAATTTTAACCAAAAAAAGAAATGCTGACAAACACGTCTTTCGTCTCTTGCAACATAAAATGCTCGTTACAGCGCGCTGTAGTCTAGTAAAGCATCCATCCATGAACTTATACAATTTCTCAACCGCCAACTGCACGACACCCAGCGCCCTGCGCTTTACTCCATGCGCTGCTGCCAACACCAACAACACCAACAACAATAACGAACAGCCTCAAGTACTTGTAACATCGCTACGTACTTATATATGTAATTGTCTGTATATATTCTTCGTTCGTACTTACATAGGCATCAGTACTAACAGGCAAGAAGCACTCAACGTACTTGAAACCGAATCTTGAATTCGCAGAGTTTTGTTTGGGCACATACAGCGCACAACAGATTGTGGGGCAAAGAAGAAAAGCACATAGAAAAGAAAAATGTGGCAAGCAAAATTAAAAAACAAAAATTGCACACACAAATCTGATATAAAACAAAATCTAAAATAGAAAAATAAAAAAAAAGAATAAAAAAAAATTATTTGCTGTAATTTTCTATTTGTGCTACAGAAACCGGCACAGCAGACAGCCAAGTGAGCTTTCGTGCTTATACCACAAATACAAAACAACACACGAGAAGGGAACTCTGAATGCTAACTTGGCTGATTTTTGCACTTAACATAAAAACGTAGCCGTCGGCATACAACAAAATCATTTGTGATGTATTCTAATCTATTAAAATGTCAATTACGCACATACACACTCACACACACACGCACACAAGACAATGATTTATTATTACAAATAAACGTGCTTAGATATTTGTATGTTTATATGTATATTCATATGAAAAAAATGTGTGTATACTTAATGGCACATATCGATACAAAAGTCCAAACAAATTGTTATTGTTATTGTTCTTATTTTGCTTTTTGTTTTGTTTTGCCTTTTTTTTACGTTTGCTATGTTTTTTTTAATTTATTATTTTTATTTTAATTTTTTATTTTGCTCTTAACTTATTTTTGTTTTACTTATATTTTTGTTTTACTTGTATTTTAATTTTTTGCTTATATTTTATTTCTCTTATATTTGAATTTTACTTATATTTTTGTTTTACTTATATTTTTTTTTACTTATATTTTTGTTTCCATTTTAGTGCTTTTATATTTTCTTTAATTTTTTCTGTGCTTTTATATTTTTGTTTATTTTTTTGTGCTTGTATAGTTTTTTCTTTTTTGTACTTTTTTATAAATTTGTTTTCATTTTTGTGTTTTTATATTTATGTTTTCTTTTTTTGTGCTTTTATATTTTTGTTTTTTGTTGCTATTGTATATTCGCGTTCAATGCCGCTGTTATTGTTGACTTTTTGTTTACACGCACTTTCGCAAAAAGCACATATTCATTTTCCCACACACACCTACTCACTTACAAGCCCAACAAAACACTTATCACTGGACTCTCTCACACTCTCCCATATAGCACAGGCACAGGCACAGCAAGTGTTAAACCTACTCTATTGAATTATATTTTCAATTTTAGTCGTTACAAAATCACATACCGAACATACCAACTACGTACAACGACGACAACTAGAAGCGATGAAGATAATTTCGTTACAATTCTCTGTTACATTTTCGTCCATTATTCCATTATGCAGAAGGGTGCTGCAGAGGGTGGTGGGCGCGCTGTAAAACTGTGCACTACTCTATATCAATATAATTGTGGCGAACGAACTGAACTTCTCTCTTCAAAAGTATTTTTCTTGTTGTTTGTCTACTGCTCGGCTGTTGTTGTTGCTGTAGTAGTTGTTATTGTTGCAAGCTATTTTAAATGCTATACGCACCACAAACAATTGACAATAAATGAAATATAGTAAACGATTTTAAGTTTAGCGACACGATGTCCGCCGCAGCAGCAGCCAAAATCAAACTGAAATTTGTGCCGAAAACCGATTTATTGCTGGTGCCTTATGTCGGCTTTTCTATCTGTATCTGTTGGTAGCGCGCGCAATTCACATTTTACAGATACACAATTACCCGACCCATCGCACCAATTGAGAGTGAGAAAGAGAGCATGAAAATCATTAGAGCGAGCGAAAGTATCGTTTTACTCACATTCGTATTAGAGTTGAATGCGGCGAAATGAATTCGCCACGATTTTGTACGAAAAATCGTGTACAAATTAAATTCCAATACGACAGAAACAACTGAAACGGCTGAAGCGATTGAGGAAATATTCAAATGTACACATTTTATTCGAAACACACACCAATGCAACTCTCATCACGTGTACGTGTACATGTACGTAAAGCGTATGTTTACAAATTGTTGTTACCGCATATACACAAAACACCCTCCAACACTTATCAACCAACAAATTTAAAGTAAAATTTCTCTTATTTAGAAAATACACAAAATAGAAATTTCGTACTAATTTTCGTTATTTGAAAATGTAGGAACTTTTACACTTCTACACTTTTTGTGTTTTGTATTTTTTTCGTTTTGTTTGTTTGTTTTTTGTGCAAAATACGAACATTTTCTTTTACGACGTCAAATTCCCGAAATGATTTTTATTTATTTTACGCACTACATAAGATTCCAATAACAAACCAAACCAAACCAAACCATTGCAATTTCAAACTGCCCGGTAAATTACTATACTAAATACTCACACATTATCGATTTGCATATGCCAAACAAAACATATTTGTTTTTAATATTAATTATTTTATATAATTTCAATTAACATGACAATAGTTTTACACACTTTAAGATAATTTGTTTTCTATCACTATATTAGTTACTATCTTTTTATCGATTTGTCAATTATTTAAATTATTCGATTTTTTATTTTTCAATAGAAATTTTAAAACAAATAATGTAACGCCTTCCGTAACAGAAACACACTGAACGAGCACTATCAACTGACTGACTTCGTGTTTTCACATCAAAAATCTCAATCTATCTCGCGGCTGAGCTTTTTCGTGTCACGCCACCCTGTTGGAAATGTGAGCATTTGTGCCGCAGAATGGGGAACAGAGCGAATGTTAATGTCTTGCTCGTTTGAGCTCACCGCTTGAGAAAAATTAAATTAAATCTTCAAATTTCTTCCCATACTTGTATTCAATTTTGACATAGATATACTTTTTGCCTAAATATTAAACATTCTGTTTACCTATATTCTTTGATTACTAAAATGGGGTATCAGCTTTTGACCTATACAGTACAATAGCAGAAATTTAATCATTTTACATTCCTTAAATGCATTGTAGGTTTTAGTATGATCAAGTGCTACATTCTGATTTTCGATGCTTTATACCCATTGGAAAAAGCGCAAAAATTTGAATATAGCAGGTGCTCAGGCGACAGATATCTTTGAACCAAAATTAAAATTTTTTTCTTTCATGTTGGGGAGAAAAGGAGGATATTGTTGCTAGGTAGTAATAATGAAAATCTAAATTTTTATAATATCAAATTGCGAAATTTTGAATTTAGTGGCTTATACGAAGGGACCTTTCAGGCTTCAAATTAACTTTTTTCATTCAAATTTTAAATAAGTTTCTTTACACCTTTGTATAAGTTCCTGCCTCCAGGAGAAACAGATTTCTAGAGAGGTACATTTGGACAGCTTGTCAGACACTTCATTTGTTAGGACCAATAAACGCTATATTAAATTATCCAGATTTGAGTGCATTTAGTTTTTTTCATTTTAAACCTTAAGGTTTCTTGCGAGGAATATGGCAGTAAAAAAGAAAAAATCCTACCATTGCAAGCAAACAAGTAACAATTTATTACATTAATTTAAATATGTTTGATATCGACAGATATCAAATTAATCCATAAATAATATTATTTATATTTTTAACTCAACATATTAGTTGTAATTCTTCATTTTTTCAGAGTAGCAAAAATTACTCGCAACTTTCGAAAGAAAATAAGTGAAGCAATAACAATGCTCTTTAAAATTTTTCAGAATTAGACTTCACGCGCAAAATATTTTAAGTCTTACGTTTCACTGCTGTCAAATTCGAAAATCAGGCTATTGTGCATGTCCATTGGAAAATTGTTGCTAAATTCCAGTCATCAATTAAAATCAAATGAACATTTCATTTACTAATTCAAATACATAAATAAATAAATTAATTTAAATACATAAAGTAAAAATGCTAACCATTGCTCTTCTAATATTCATTTGGTTTCTTTTTATTTTTATTAATTAATTTTCAGTGTTTACACTTTTTATATTCCAAATAAAAATACATAATAAAAAACATATGTCAGAAAAGAATTTAATCTATATCAAAAGTGATACCAATTTGTTTAAACCAGTCTTAATGTTGTTTTTTCACAACTCTGAAAAAAAATTACGGCTATTTTTATTATTTCTATTATATGTGCAATAAATTTTTATGTACTATACGTTATTCGTGACATAGGTTATAAATTTCCAACGTGGCATACTTGTGTATACAATAATTAAATCTTGTCCATTTAAATGAGAGATTTTTCGCCCAAATACGAGGAATAATGAAAAAACGATGGTGGTGTTTTCGTTTCTCGCCATCATAGAAATAACCGCGCCTACTGCTACCCCTTGCATCTTGTTGATTGGCTACGTTAGCAAAACGAAATTCCGAACAAAACCGAACAGATACGAAGTTAGCAACGACATAGTTTGAAAATTTCATTAAATGCTACGGAATAGCAGAAGGGTGTCGGCTGATTGAGTATGAGTGAGCGAGAGGGGCTTGACTATTTCGTTATTATTAATACGCCGTCGTTTATTATGAGGGGCGAGTGAGGCTCATTTCATATCAACAAAAAATACTTGTTAATTTCAGTTGCCAATTGAGAGATTAAAATTTCACTCCTCGTGCCAAATGTATTATTATTTTATAGCCGATATGCAAGGTAGTTTGGCCTTGGGTTAATTAAAAATATCAATTTTTATTGTGATACGAGGTTGAGTTTGTGTTTAAATATGAAAAATTTATTTTTAAATTGAAAAAATACTTGAAAATTCTTTTCAATATGTCTAAATTTCATATTTGCTAATATTATATTTTTTAATGAATCTTATTTTGTTGCATATGTATTAATTAAAATATGTATACGTATTTACATATACATTTGTAAATAATATTTTTTTTTTATAATATACTTATCATTTAATTACAGTGCTGTCACCTAGAATATTAAACACTGTATTTAGTTTATTTAATTTACTGCATGTCGCCACCCTCACACTGTAGCAAATACATTTAATATAAAAATGGCTCTTATTTTCTATAGACGACATGATAGATTTACGATGCTTTGGTGTGTGTGTGTGGGTGTTTAAGTGTTTTGTCGTTGAAAAGAGTTGACATTCTTCAAGAAGAAGACGCAAAAAAAAAACAAAAATAATATTTGTTGGTTCATTTATTGTAGCAAACAGTGGCGTAACTACATTTTTTAGGCCTGTAAGCAAATTCTAACTAAGGGGCCCCTACCAACATACTAAGGGGCCCCTCTTTTTATACTCTTTACACGAAAAAATGTAAAAAGGGTATATAAGGTTTGTCAATATTTTCGTAACGCATTAAAGGAAACTTCGGAAATACCATTAAGTATATATCAGTATACTTTTACAGTTCAAACTACTCTCTCAGCTTTTGAACTCTTCGAATAAAACTTTATACACATACTTTTCGGGAGCGCATCCTGTTCACCATTTGATTTGATTGAAATTGGACGTCTATTTCTTGTAGCTGTGATATAAACTTAACAATCGGATATAAGGTTTCTCCGTTTTTAATAAAGGTATTCAAATGGAATATGGTGTATACAGTACTGATATTTGCAAAAGACAACGTACAAAATTATTTTCAAATGGGTTTAAATTTAGATATAGCTTCCATATAAACTCTCGATCAAGACACATATTTTTCTTAGAAAAACTTTTTTATTTCATAAATAGGTTTAATATTTTATTTGAAGTACATACATATTATGTACTTTAAATTTAAAATTTACGTATCTTTTATAAAATGCAATATGAAGTTATTCCAACAAAAAACGTTTCGTCCCACTTTTGAGAATTTATTAAAAAGAAATACAATGAATACAAAAATTTATAGTGGGGCCCCCTAAATTCGGGGGCCCGAAAGCGTTGCTTCCAGTTGCTTCCCTGTAGTTACGCCACTGGTAGCAAAAGAATTTTTAGATTTTAATCAATCGTGTTTTCAATTTATTTCGAATTCGAAATTTTGTACGTTTTTTTTCGAAGAATGATTTTTGTTTCTTTTGTTCTTTTGTTCTGATCAAGCGTACTTTTTCTTCTTTACGGTACTTTACGCTGCTGTGCTTGTTCTTTATTAAGAAAATGTAGCAGCAATTTGTTGAATTTTTCCACACGAAAAAAAAATTATGCTGGTTTTTCCGTCTTCTGGAGACAATAAAAAATAATTTTTTTGGTTGTGTAATTTAGATCCGTACTTGATAAAGAATAGATGATTGTTGATGACGACTATGTAGTTATAGAGATATAGAGATATTTATAATAATTAATAAAATTTAACATTTTTTATTGAATTTAATTTTTATGATGAAATAAAAATATTTTCTTATATTTTTGTTTTTTTTTTAATAATAATAAGAATTTAATTCATGTTAATTTTTTTACCGAAAGTGACGCGTCTTATTTTATGACAAAAAAAAACTATTAAAATGTTAGATGGGTTCGAATAGAAATGAAAAGACAACAACATAAACTTAAGAAAATTTATTAAAATTTGGCTGTTTGGAGTATTGCCAAGTACTCATCAGTGGCCTGAAAAAATATTCGATCTTTTTTTAAATTAGTTTATAGACCGTATATAATTTGTTTGACCTGCAAATTTTTTTTGTTTTTCATTAAATGAAGAGCATCGAAAGTTACAGTGTGA